TTGAAGCAATTGACGGCTTCCTTGCGCCATGAAACGCACTGCCCTTCGATACCGAAAGCAGGAAGATCGTGCGATAGCTCTAGATAATACGCAATGACAATTGCCAAGTCAAGGAAGCGTGAATCTGGCTTGAGCTCGCCTGCTGCTTCGATGGCCGCAAGCACGGTGAGTAGTGCGCAGCCCATTAAGCCGATCATTTCGCAGGTTGTGTCGCCGTCTTCGTTATTGATGAGCGCGGTGATGTGCTCGTTTTCGTTCAGCCACAGCCCCACTGCGCTGATGACAGACCACATTTTCTCGATCCGGTCCTTTTTGGCGTGGAAGCCTTGATTGAACTCGACCATCTTTGCGCTGTTAGCTTCCAGCTATCATGCGCAGCTAACCATTGCACTTACCATATTTTCCATAATTTCTTGCATTCCCCATCCTTGCCAGTCTGTATACAAATTCATCTCAAAAGCGTCTGGGTCGCAGTACTTCGCTTTTCTTCCCAGTAGATCCGCCTTGAGCCACGCATCCCACAGCATGACCCATTTGTGCTCCGGGTGCTTGCTCGCCGGTACTTTGAAGAGGCCATCTTTTCTGAATTGATCGTCGATGGGCTTGTAGAGCTTTTTGAAGATCTCAGATTTAGATGAAATGAAGGCGTCCGGGTCCAACGTCCAATTGAGATAATTCCTGCCTTCAATGTCGAAGAAAGGATGCGGTATACAAACGTAGTCGTAGGGTGCAGGATCGGCGGGCTTGCCCGTGCTGCTGTTCTGCTTATTTTTCTTCGGCTTGTCGTTCTTGTTGGGGCGCACCGACTCGAAGGCGGAATCCGAGCTCTCGCTGCCCGAATCTTCTAGGAAGACGCCGGAATCGCGCGCGGTCTTCTGTTTCTTCGCTGGAGGCATTTTCACGTGGGATATGAGACGGGACAGGTGCTCAATAATATGTATTTGATGGGAATAGATAGTTAATCGATGATCTTGATGGATTGGAGGTGTGGGTTGATGAGGTTCATCCGGGTGTTCGTGGGATCATGACATCAAGGGGCTTCGTCATCGCTCCAGGACCCCTGAACAACGCGAACCTCTCACGATCGCACGTGAATGGCGTTTGGTGGTATCGCGTCGCGTCTGGCGAGCCCATGTTGTCCGCAACTTGGAGATTCTGATAAATTCCCAAAAGCTGGCCGTCTTTTGTGACATTACAGGGTCCACTTGGGTAGAGAGAGGGTAGAAGTGATGGCAGAGGGTGAACAGGCAGCGGGGTGCGACATCTGGACGGACGGACGCGTCGAGGGAAGCTTGTGCCCCAACCAGCTAGCGCAACACCACAACCGCGACCATCCATGGATCTCGGCTCGCACTATGTACTTTCCAACGAACCAGCACGACCTCTCTTCGCCCTACAACCCCATCACATCTCCGAAGAGTATTGCCGAGAATGTCATCTCATACAAGGAGAACACCAAACACCCAGGAGCCTACATATTCGTCAGATCTTCCAATCTGCTTCTTATATCATGCTGTAGTCTGCAGACCTGTCTAATTCTTTGTTTCCAACAAACGCTGCTGCATCTCGGACGCGGGTTTGGGCTGTTGCGGAAGAAGCGCCTGATGTCCTTTTACGAGCAAGTCGCGAATGCCCTCCTCTCGCGCATCGGCGTCTGTCTCAATGATGCGATCCCAGAGGCCGCACGGTCACTTACAGCTCAGGTATTCAAAACGCGCGGAGGGTACCGACTGTTCGTGACCTCATACAATGATCACGGACGTTGACGATATCGAAACAGACCTTGGTGTTGGTTGCCCAAGTCGTTGGATACCAATGGTTACGATATAGTCCTTGTTGTGATCGAGTTGCAGATGCATCTGTTGATCGTTCGGCCGCTCATCGCGTCATACGACGGCCTATGGAACTGAGATGTATACCGGCTTTCACGTACTTGCAGGTCGGAGCGACTCTTCCCAAGAGTCCCAGACGCCAGCATGTCTCGAGATCTCTGTATGCGTGCAAGTATGCGCATGGGAGACGGAACGGCGCAGGTTGTGTATGGAAGTAGTGACTGGGACTTCATCGTGGCGTATTCTGCCCTTACTCTGCAGCCTACAACAGCGCAGAAGCAAGGAACCGAGAACTTGCTACAGCGATGTAGACTTCTAGGTTCTCTGTTGTTACACTGGTCGTTCTTATAGCGTTTTGTTGTAGTAGGTACGCACGATGCTTAAGCTGCGTGAGACGTGCCACGGATGAACTACGTCGAAGAGAAGGCAGATGCTTGGATGAGAGACTACGGCTTTTCCATGCCTACCGCTCAGTGCACAGCGGCCTGGGTTCTTTCCCGATACTAACTGTGTCTTTTGTTCGCGGTAATGCCTTGTACTTGTGTAGGCCCTGTTACAACCAGCTAGTGGATCAGAACTATGTATGTTACTCCCAGCTTAATTGTTCTGCCACATATCGGCCTGCACATGAAGCCAAAACGCATTGGACTGTCAACCAAAAAATATGTCAGCTGATTTCGATCTCCAAAAACATGAGCATGCGTAGCGAGTCTACAACATTGGTGACAGCAAACAGCCAGAATGCCGACAAAAGGTTTGCCCCCTGGCAGGATCGAACTGCCGACCTCGGGATATCTGCTCTGTCGAACAGTCATATGTGTAGATATGAGACCCACGTGATAACCAACTACACCAAGGAGGCTTTGTTCTTCTCTTTTGGCCCAATTAGGCCGCTGATATTTCATCGCTCACCGGTCGCTCCTGCCGCCGCTGCGCTCGCTCCTTCCTCCGTTGACCCAAACATCCCTGTCATTTCACCCTCCACCAAACCAAACATCCCTACCACCCCACCCTTCCCATGCTATTCTACCAAAAAGACTGGGCTCACGTTTGAGTACGTACCTAGAAGTCTACATTGCCTTGAAATCTAGCGAAATGGTTGTTCTCATCTTGATGTAGTCTGCAGAGCACCTGTTGAGTTACACCTTGTACGAGGCACTCCGACTCTCCGACCTCGGCCTATCTTATCATGCACGCTAAAATTTTGGGCAGTTGCGTCACGCCCAACAGTCACGATTGACGCATCTGATGAGGCACTGGAGTTTGTTTTCCTGACTTTTGCAATTGACTATGGCTTCACGAATGGCTTCGCAGCGCGTATGCGCTACATTGCGCGCATCTCGCATCAACTATGTCCCCGCGCGGTTTGCTTCCGCAGCCTCTGCGGTTAGGGGGTCCAGTCTACCACAGGACGTGAAGGACGCCATAGCTGTGAGTACCAACCTACACACGCTCTGCAGCGCCCTCCATAATGACACTCTACAGCGCGACTCAACACTACCTACACCCGACCCGCCCTCATCCTCCAAGACAGCCGGCCTCGTCAACCAGCAATTACCGTACATGGTCCCGACCTATGTCCGCCCACCACCGATGTTCGAGAAGGGCGAGGGGTGCTGGATGTGGGATATCGAGAACAGGAAGTACCTCGACTTCACAGCTGGTATCGCCGTCAATGCGCTGGGGCACTGCGACCCTGGCGTAGCGCAGGTCATTGGAGAACAGGTACGTCAGTCACCACTACATCGATTGCGGCTTACTGACTCCCTCCCAGGCCAGGCAGCTCATGCACACATCGAACCTCTACCACAACCCCCACACAGGCCTGCTATCGAAGCAGCTGATCCAGCTCACGCACGCGACCGGAGGCTTTGCCAGTGCAACCCGCACATTCATATGCAACAGTGGTTCCGAGGCCAACGAGGCCGCCATCAAGTTCGCGCGCAAGGTCGGAAAGTCAATGTCACCGGACAAAGAGAAGCACGAGTTCGTTTCGTTCCACAACTCGTTCCATGGCCGGACCATGGGCAGTTTGAGCGCGACACCGAACCCCAAGTACCAGACACCGTTCTCACCGATGGTGCCCGGTTTCAAGTACGGCACATTCAACGATGTGGACGCGGTTAACGACCTGGTCACCGACGCGACGTGCGGTGTCATCGTGGAGCCAATTCAGGGAGAGGGTGGTGTGAACGTTGCGACACCCGAGTTTCTTCTCGCGCTCCGAAAGAGGTGCACGGAAGTCGGTGCCGTCTTGATCTTTGACGAGATACAATGTGGTCTAGGCCGGACAGGTACCTTCTGGGCACACGGCGGCTACCCCAAGGAATGCCATCCCGACATTGTAACCACAGCAAAAGCACTCGGCAACGGATTCCCCATCGGCGCGACTATCGTCAACGACTTCGTCTGTGACAACATCAAGACTGGTGACCACGGCACCACTTTTGGCGGCAACCCCCTCGGATCCCGCGTCGCTTCGTACATCCTGTCTCGTCTCTCATCACCAGAGATTCTCGATTCGATACCCGCCAAAGAGCAGGCATTCCGCAAGCACTTCGACGCTCTCCGACAGCGCTTCCCCAGCCAGATCAAGGAGGTCAGAGGCAAGGGTCTGATCTTGGGTCTTCAGCTTGATGTTGATCCTACGCCTATCGTTACTGCTGCTCGTGAGAGGGGGTTGCTTATCATCACTTGCGGTACAAACACGCTCAGGTTCGTTCCCCCACTCGTGATCACCGAAGCGGAGATCGAGGAGGGCATGCAGATCCTAGGACAGGCGATGGAGAGCGTATGGGTCAAGCATGAAGATGTCGAGGGCACAGACGGTCAACAGGAGATGCGGTAATGCATACCCAGGTTAGCATGGCGTTCATCGGCGTTGTAGACGGGTATCGTTGTACATATTTCACCAAAAGTCAGGGCACTAGAGGAACGATGAGAGGTGTATGAAAGATTGTATACTGTGATACGCTGATTCCTTTTAGAGTACTGAAGCAGGACTGAGCAAGGCCGAAGCCGGCTCTGACGGGTATAGTACATGCAAAGTAACTTCCAAACCGAGTGTGAAGGAAGTCGATTGGGCGAGCCCGCTGTTCAATATAGAAATAGAAATGGAATGTGTGCCGTGGTTTAACTCCAGAGCTGTATGGGTAAGATCTTCATGTCTCAACCGCTGCCAAAGATGCTGGCGACAGGTCGGGACGATGCTGCACCGGCAGCATTCAAGCCGCCATTTTGAGCAGGTCCTCGCACCGGTAAGCCAGTACCAGGCGTAGATGGTGCAGTCGTGCTGCTGGTACCATTCGCATCCTCGTTCTCGTCCTTCTTCGCAACCTTCGAAGTCTTCGCCTTCTTCTGCGGTCCATCCTTAGTCTTCTTATCAGCACCTCCATACCGATGGTACTTGTGCCGATTCGGTCGCCCAAAGACCTGCTGCGGTGTCTGCAATAGCGCAAAGCTGGACAAGCCCTCGCCCTCGTCATCACCCACAGGCAGGATCTGAGCGTTTTTTATGATCTCGATGATGCCAGCATCGTCTTCAAGCTCTTTCGCTTCTTGGTGGTCAGCACGAGACATTTTCTTCGCGCGATTGAAGATTGCATGCTCGATTGTGTTCTCGAGAACTAGAGTTTCAACGAGCACTTCTTTTGTTTGTCCAATGCGATGAGCTCGTTTGATGGCTTGCGCTTCGATGTTCGGTCTGTTGATCGGGTTTACAATGAGTACGACGCTCGCCGCATTGAGATTTAGCCCAAGGGCTCCGCACGCGACATCGATGAGCAAGACTCGCACATCTGGATCTTCGTTGAACAGTCGTACGTACTCGGATCGCAGCTGGTTGTTTAGAGTTCTCGCGTAGATTCGATGGTTGACGTACATCAACTCAAGACATTGGGCGATGTAGAATGCCGCGTTGTCACCATCGTAGAAGATGATGATCTTCTCTTTCTCCTGGTGCTGCATCACCTTGTCCAACAGATATGTAAGTTTGGCCGATGTTGTGCCAATGCAGCGTGTATTTCGGAGATCGGAGTCTGCGGGAAGGTCCGCTGTCTCGTCTGCGAAGGTAAGTTTTCGCTTCTTCGTGCGAACGGGTGATGCGATGTCCGGGGTGTCTTCAACGCCATTCGCATCGTTGGATCCTGGTGATTTTTTAGGAGAAGCTTTGCTCACGATGGCTGATGTTCTACGACTAGTCGGTGGCTGTTGACCCTTTACCAGCGAGGTAGGCACTCCTGTCCTCTGCAACGGCACACCGCTGACTGTGCCTTCGCCTGACTCCTTGAGCTTACCCTCTTCTTCTGCCATCGCAATGGCCTTTGCTTTTGCTGCATATCCCACAGCATCCAGCCCGACCGTTGGATCTGAGGACCGGATGCTGCTATCAACATGGAGTTGGCCCTCGATGAGCTGCGTAACACCAACCACGATGGGCTCCGCCGGGTAAACAAGTGCAAATGCCTCTCGCGCCGCTTCTGGCCAATGGTTGACAGCCATACCCACTTCATGAGAGGTACTCAATGCAATCCATTCAGCGGAAGCCGTAAGCTTCGACACGATTTGGCTGCTCTCCAGGAGGGATTGCGCGTCCTCGAGCGAGCAGTTCCTGTCCTCTTTGGAAAGGTACTTACTGCTAGTTTCAAGCGTGGCGACTACATCTGAGAGGCTGAAACCTGTCCAGGTAAAGTTGGACTGCCGTAAATTTCTGATGAGACTGTGACGAGCTTTCACGCTGTTCTTGTGGAATAGATAGTCGACATCGGTCCGCTCGCTCGTGATAGCGTTTGCTCGCAGAACTTGTACGAAGAGATTGGCCGTCATCTTATCAAACCAACATGGCTTGAGGTAAACGGTTCTGTGTCGCATCGGCGGTAAGACAATGTCCTTCTCAACATCCTCTGGGCGTGTCTTTACAACTAGTCCTTCCAATGCTCGGACGAAGCATGAGGAAAACCCGGAATAAGTCTTTCTGTACTGATGCTCGTGGCGATAAACGTATTCATCCCAATCGAGCTTACCCTCGGAATTCTCGCACCATGGTCGAACCATGAGGAAGTTTGAAGCAAGCATACCCAAAGCTTTAGCAGCTTTGACATTCTCTGCATCATCTTTGAACGTTTTTCTCTTTTCAATGGCAAGTTCGCGCTGTAGTACCGGGTCGGTCTCCGGATTGACGGTGGACATGTCTACCTCCACACCGACCAAACTTTTCGCAGGTGCTTTGAACTAACGTCAGCATATGTACACATATCAAAACTTGCACGACTTACTTCCTGATACGACCCAGCGTCTCTCCGCTTGTATCTGCTTAGCGACAAGTACAGCATTTGAGACAGAGCTCGAGAAAGAGTGTCCTTCATCGATAATGATCCGTAGCCAGTGTATCTTCTTCAGTGGCGATTCGTACAATCTATCAGTGTTGACACAACTGCAATCTGGGATCCGAGTTGCTCCGATGTAAGGGCAGTTACAAACGCGAGAGGCCCCACAAACCATGCGTCGTCCTTGTTCATCTTGACCGTCTTGAATCTCTTGTTCGAAGCGATTGCGAGTAAATAGAACCACGTCAAACTTCATGAGTTCAGTGGGAGCTGGTAGTTCGCTTCGAAAGTCCATGGTCTCATCGGTTGGATGGGTTATCTTCGTGCGCTTGGGCACAGAGTCAACGACGAGAATCCTGAGGCCACCCGGAAGGACGTGCTTCTGTATCTCTGACTGCCATTGGTGCAGCAAGTTTCGCGGTACGACAATGATAGTGGCGGAAGAGAGCACTAATTGACGTGTTGGCGGTATTCGGGTATTCCTATTCATGCGTGGGATATCTGGTGGTATCTCGTAGAATGGAACAACTCGATCCAGCGCATCTTTGATGCTTGTCATATCTCCAGCCCCATTCGCCTCAGACTGCTCGAGAAAAGATTTCACTGGGATTGAATGTCGGCCAGCGGACGAGATCGCCATGTTTGCCAACGATCCAGGACGCTTGCGAAGAGGAGGCAATGGTCGGTATGCGGCTGGAATCTTGGGAAGATGGCCCTTGCTTGCTAAGATGACGGCCAAGCAAATTACCGTTTTCCCCAGGCCCATGGTCTCTGCCAGAATACCACCCCGGTTCATTTCGTAGTAGCGCGGCTCTTGTAGAAACGATCCATCTCGAGGCCCGAAGTAGAACTTCTTGCCATCGGGCGAGGTACGAACCTCCAATCTTGGATCAAGCTGCAGCTGTGGCGAAGCTTCCCGTTGCAGCATCAAGCTCGCCGACCGTGTCTGATACGCGTACAATCTTGTTTTGAGCCCCGGTAGAGCCTGTTCACCATGCTCCGACCACTCTGAGACTGCCGCAGAATCTAGTACGTCTTGTACGGCGGCACGTGTATAGCGACACTTGATCCTCCCCACGTCGGGCGCAGGTGATGGTAGCTTGTTGAAAAGGTAGTATAGCGAGAAAGGTTCTACGTCAGCCCAGGGATCAAAGTAACGCGTCTCATCAGGATTTGAGTCTCCATTCCAAGCACTCGGTGAGATGTCAATTTGTTGGAGCAGTGTCCGCAGAGCGTTCTTCAAGCTCTTGCTGTTACGGTCAATCGTACGACGGGCCCAGTCTTCTGGCAAAAGATAGACGCGAAGAAGGACGTGGTGAGACGCATTACCAGGCGTTCCTCTACGCGCGAATATCCGAATCCATTGAGCTTCAAGCAGTCGTGATGCTTCAATACCGATGCTGGCCTTGATCTCGTCGGGAAGCTCTTGTTGCAGTAACTCGACCCAACCACCGCTCGATGGTGAGATTGAACTAAAGTCGAATGCGTGCTTGAAGTGAAGGCAGCCAAGTGCGATGTAGCGATCCATATTCTGTGCACCAGTCTCAACACACTCCACGTTTTCGGGAGCTGGTAATGAACCTGGGGTGGCGAGCGTAGATGATCCGGTAGCAGCAGAGGCTCGCGCTGAAGATGAAGATATAGATATAGCATCGTCACGGTGGTTCATTTGCTGATCAGTTGCATTGTCCATGTTCTTGCGTGCGGCTCGATGATCATAGCTGCTGCTAGTCGCGCCACATAACGTGGGCGACGTGATTGTTGTAAGCCCGACCATCATAAGCGTTCGTTGTCATCAAATCCAGTGGGTACGATCGTACAGTCCGAGCACTGCGGGACAAAAGTTTGGGTCGATAATGGTAGGTAGTTGCAGGTGAAGCGGGAGGCGACTGCCTAGATGCCAAGTAAATGACCTTCGCGTTCCGCGCTAACCCGAAGCGTTAGCGCGTCCCTCCAGTATCGCGTCCTGGCTTCTTCAATCCGGGCGATGTTCAGATAGTACCGAATGCACATTGTTATGCCTATCTCGGTGGTTCCTTTCGACGGATGTAGAACGACAGGGATGCAGATGCGTTATATCCGGTGGGAAACATTTCTACGCGTGACGCGACCGTAATTAATCTGCTATATTGCAGACGACTGGGATCACGTAATGCGAAGATGCTATCACATATAAAGAGACCTAGGGACTGAATCGAGTCCCAGTCTTGGATATTGGAGCTTCGGATTATCCTTCGCGATGTTGTCGTTCTTCGCTCAAATCTTGTTGGCAGCATCGGGCGCACTCGCTGCGCCGGTTGAGAATGCTTCGAGTGCCGCAGCAACTGTAGGCAAGATACGTGGCGTTCGGGACCCAATTTACCATCTATACTTGCAAGCAAGCGCTAAGAATGGTATGCTGATTTCCTTCTCTTGACATTCAGCTTTACTACTTTTCCAGAAACTTGTTGATAACATGTATAGCATCGATCCCTGTGCTGGGACCCGAAACCGCAGCTGACGAGTTTACCATCGGCGGCACCATCCAATCGAAAAAGACAAGCCAGTATCTGAACATTGCGACTGCATCGACAAGCTACAAGCCGTTGGTCTGGGGAGCCACTGGGGAGACTACGGCGTGGGGATTGGAGGGTGATACTATCATTACTGTGCAGAGCAGTAGCTATGGACGACGTAAGTACTCAAGAAGGAGGCATGTTCGGCTCATTGTCGGCGGTGCTAACATGCGATCCAGAGCTGAACTTCCTCGTATGCAAATCGGCTGAAGCGAGTTACTACGATCTGTACTTGCAGACGGGGAGCGATACGCCGAGTGGAAGGACATGCAGCAATTACCAGACGATCCATCTACCGTGTCTGTGTTAGAGGTTACGGACAGCCGATGGCTGTGTATGCAAGTTGCTAGGGATGACAACCGCGCCGTAGAAAACCATGGAGTTAATGGAAAGTTTGTCAAGGCTCGGTTCAATCAGTAATCAAGAATGCTGAGCTGGTTCATGCAGGTGTGGTGTAGTGAACATCCGCAGGCAGACAGCGAAATCGAGAGAGCGTGGCCGCGGCAGTGTTAGCCCTATCCGGAATAGCGTCTTTGGTGCCGCACGATGCCCGCAGGAGGCCGGGACATCTGGATCCACCGATGATTAGTGACGTATCGACCTCGTTAACTCCGAACAGCGAAGCTCTTTCGATGATGATTAATGGGACATGTGGGGAAGACACGTTAAGATATCACGATCCCCTCTTCCTTCCACCAAACACCGATCAATTGAAGCACACGAACAATCATGTCATACAGCAGAGTAGGAGTCGTCACCGGCGCGAACAAGGTACCTACACACGACCACAGCCTCTTCGGGAGTACCAAACTAACATTGACAGGGCATCGGACGCGCCATCGTGCAGCAGCTCGCTCTGCAGTACCCCAAGTCGCCGCTCAACAACGGACCCTTTCTGATCTATCTGACGGCTCGCGATCAGGGCAGAGGAGAAGCTGCCGTTAAGGATTTGGAGCAAGATGCGGCATTGAAGCAGGCTAAGGCATTGAAGGCCGACGGTGGCCTCTCTGAGATCAAGTTCCATCTGCTTGACATTACAAGCAGCAGCAGTATCAAGACCCTTGCGGACCACTTGAAGCAAGCTCATGGGGACGGCATTGACTTTGTCATCAACAACGCTGGTATCGCGTTGGACGGCTTCAGTAAGTATCTCCTTCCAATGTACAATCCGCCGTCCCTAACATAATTAGATGCCGACCTCGTCAAAAAAACCCTCGACTGCAACTACTACAAGACGCTCGAGGCGTGCCACACCTTCCTCCCCCTCCTCAAGCCCACCGGTCGCATCGTGAACCTCGGCAGCATGGCTGGCAAGCTCAACAAATACTCCGAAGAAGTTCGCAACCGCTTCCTCGCCTCCAAGACCGAAGAAGATGTCACAAGCATCATGAAGGACTTTGTTGCTGCTGTCGAAGCTGGCAAGGAGAAGGACGCTGGTTTCCCTAGTGCCGGGTATGCTGTGAGCAAGGCAGGATTAATTGGAGGCACACGGGCGCTGGCCAGACAAGAGAAGGAGAAGGGAAGCAAGGTATTGATCAATACCTGCTGCCCAGGTTATGTCAACACGGACATGACAAAGGGTAAGCAAACCTTTCATCGTGTGCACCATGTGAGACATGTACTGACTCTATACACCAAATCTAGGCAACGGAACGAGGACTGTAGAAGAAGGCGCCCAAACCCCCGTAATGCTCGCGATCCACGACATCCAGAACAAGACAGGTGCTTTCTGGCAGTACGAGAAGGAGATCGACTGGGTTGGTTAGAAGTACAAAGGAACAAAATAAAATGTATACTCCTTGATTGGTGTACGGTGGTCTCGCTCGTGCTTGTGACTAACGAGTTACGCGCTTACAGGCAGATCATGCAGGTCAGAATCCTTTGTCAATACACGTTATGCGCCACCGAAGACGCCCGTTCACGTACGTACCTTGTAATAGAGCACCCGCATATGATCAGAAGGCGAGATCTTACATCCGCCCCCACACGTCACATATCACACCGCATGTAAACGCCGAGATCGGTTTCACATACATACTACATCTATGCAAATAGGTTCTCTATTCCAAGAAGGTTCACCTTGCCCATGGTCGTCTGGAACTAGAAAAGCCGATCTAAGCAAGATTCCTCCACTTGCAACCTTTTCAGCATGCACTTTACTACTCTTACGTTGCTTTCAACTCTCGCCATCTCCGCAACTGCGGCGCCCACTGCACCCGGGCCTCCCATTTGCGGTACCATCTACCTACAAGGCGGCAAGACCCAAGTTATCTATGGTGATGCTTGTTATGGAATCACTGGCAAAGCGCTGTCAGCAACGGTGTCTGAGGCATGTGGGTGTGACTTTTCGCAGTAAGTCTTGTCGCCTAGAAGTCGTCGTGAAGTAATGTGGGCTGATAGAACTGCAGGTGGGATACATGCGATGCGGGAAAGTTGAAGGCGAGAAGTATCACTGGAGTGCCGATTACGGAGGCAAAGGGGTATTGGTGTATCTTGCATTAGGGTCTATTACTTAGTACGAGGGGAATAGCTAGTATTCCAAATGCACTGGCTTAGCGTATTCATTACTTGCAAGTACCAAGATGCATACCCATTCGATTAATTTCCCACTACATCTCTTGTGTAGCAACGTAACCACCGAATTCAGGTGGCATGTATTCCCCAAAGTATCGTGTGCAGCAGAGGTAGCCCCCAAAGATCCATCAACCATCTTGCATCCTCCATCTTACGCAGAACTCCCTTTTCGATTTCAACGTGAATGGACGCGACCAATCAATATGCCGAGAGTCTATCCCTTGGCTTGATCGTGACAGAGAATGTTGGACAATGAGGACCACTGCTTCTTGACCTGCCTCAGCTGCTTCTCGGAGTCCGCATACGTCTTGGCCTTTTCCTTCTCGCGCGCCAATTCGCCTTCCCGTCGCTGGATCCGTCCCTCGAGTGTCGCCACATCCCTTATGGTTTTCTTGTGTTCCTCATATTCGTGAATGTACCAACCATAGTTTTGATCGCGACTGAACTTCGCCGCAGCTAGTTCGTTCGTGGTCGCGTCCAGCTTGTTCTTGACCGTAGCGAGCTCTCCATGGGTTGCACTCAGTGCGGCCTGGGAACTGGACAGGGAGTTCGCGGTAACAATCAGAGTTCTGTTGGTCTCTTCGAGGTCTTGAATCATGTCTTCGAACATGGTGTGCAACTTTGTCTGCGCGTTGTTGGAACTCTGGAGCTGTTGCTTCTGTGTAGTCACGTCAGTCATCTCACTCGGCTGTCAATATTCTCGTAAGATACGTACGGCTACTCGCAGGCGATCGGCTGGCGTAGTCGCAATCCGGCTTTGAGCGATGCCTGAGGCGCGGTTTGTTTCTTTCATTCGTGCCATATGTATCGTGAAGTCGGATCAGGTCTCTGTGAGATGGCTCAATGTTGCAATGTAATTGTAGGATTATGAATCCGAAGATTCAGATGCGGAAGAGGCAGCGATTTGTGTTTGGTGAGGTGACTAGAATACCGTAGGTCACCGACCGTAAACGTGGGGTGGGCTGAGAGGAACGACCAGTCAAACGAAAGTGAAGGTGAAGGTGAACATAACTCCAAATGTAGAGATCGAGGAGCGATGAGATATTATGGTTTACGGATGGATAGCGTATGTTGAAGAAAGCGAACAAGATGCGCATGTACTCTACCACAGACGCCCTTTAGTTACATCGCGAGACTGGCACATAAGTGCAACATTTCTCATATAGTTTCTACTAGAGATCACCATGACGTTTCTTGAGAGGTTGATTCTCCCAGAGGTGCCAATGCATAGGCGGACGGATTGTAGCCTGGAAAGCCTTCGCAAGCCAGACCTACAGGCATACCTGAATACGTCAGTGCGAGCTTAGAAGTCTACGTAGGATTACTTACATTGCTGCAACACGATCGGGCTTAAGAGCATGACACCATGGCAACGAGACCGTGGTGGTGACAGAAGAACTCCCAGCCTTGGTAGACAAGAAGGCCAATCGAGGGTCCCGGTGCGCTAGCCTCATTAGCACTTTCCCTCTGCCACCAAAGCTCACGATGCCTCAGCCCGTCGCGACGCTCGTCCATCTGGAATGCCTTCGCATCGCACACGAGCATGCGTTGCATCAGTCATGTTCATTATTGTAAGTCGCCGGGACTGTAGCCGAAGGGCTGTCAGAGGCGAGTCATGGCGGATGGCGCTGCGGGGAAGGAGCCCGTCAGACACCTGTTGGATATAGTTCTCCGCATGAGCATCGACAACCCCAGGCTATTCCAAGCAGGTACTTGCATGCAGCAGCATAGCTGATTTATCCAATGATATTATACCAAGGAGATGCGGGCTGATCCCGATGTGGTAGTATAGGTCTAAGATACAAATACCAGGATGCGGCCCTCACGCGTCGCGTTATTGCTTCTGGGAGCCTTTCATTGCGCATACACTTGAAACTCTTATATCGACGGGAAATTCTTACATAGATCATGGGCAACCACGCGCTGATTTACGGTGCTTCTGGCATCTCGGGATGGGCCATCGTCAATGCCATCCTGAACGGATACCCTTCCAAGGATGCCTTCTCTAGAGTTACAGCTATGGTCAATCGGCCGCTGACACGTGAGATGGCGCTCTGGCCTGACGACCCAAGACTTCAAATCGTGTCTGGTGTAGATCTAGTCAAAGGTACACAAGAAGAGCTGGAGAAGCAGATCAAGGAAAAGGTCAAGGATGTTGAGACAGTGACGCAAGTGTACTTCTATTGTAAGTCAAAGCTGTCAGAAGAAACTGCAAGGTCTAACGGTACCAAGCATACAAGCAGATCGATGAACCCGAAGCCGAATGCAAGACTAACGAAGCGATGTTGGAGCGCGCCGTAACTGCGATTGATCATCTCTCCTCCAAACTATCATACGTACTTCTTCCGACAGGAACCAAGATCTACGGTTGCCAGATGTTAGACAAATTCCCCTTTGCGAACGACCTACCACTCAAGGAGACTCTGCCGCCCATTCCCGAGCCGTATCTCTCACAATTGTTCTACTACAACCAAATCGACTGCTTGAAACGCATCTCCAACGGGAAGAACTGGAGCTGGTGCGAGGTCCGGCCAGACAACATCATCGGTTTCGTGCCGAATAATAACGCATACTGCCTTGCGCAAACATTGGCGTTGTACCTTTCGCTATATCGATCGGTTGAGGGCGAGGGCGCAAAGTGCCCATTCCCTGGTACTGAGAAGTCGTGGGTGAACAAATACAATGAGTCTCCACAAGACATGGTAGCACACTTTTCCATCCACGCGTCTTTAAACCCAGAGAAAACCGCGTCGCAAAGCTTCAACGTGGGAGGTCAGGAAGACAGCTGGAGCGGCAAGTGGCCAGTAATCTGTGATTACTTCGGTCTGAACGGTACCGGACCTGAACAGGGCTCACCACAGCCTGGCGCGTACATCGACGCGCATAAGAAGGAGTGGGAGGAGCTGGAGAAGAAGCACAGTCTCAAGAAGGGAAGCGTCGATAGCGATATCACGCACCCCGGATTCCAGGTATGTCGGAAATCTGGTTGCGTCGTGTACGCGTGCAGTAGCTGACCAGTATTAGTACTTCATCATGACGATGTTCGACTTCGACCGCCAGATGAGCATGGAAGCTTCGCACAAGGTGGGATACACGGAGGAGATTGGAACGAAGAAAACGTGGACGACTGCGTTCGATCGCATGAGGAAAGCGAAAGTGATACCCTGATGTCGTGAAGGAAACCTTGGAAGAGCGTGCTGTGAGTGTTTAGGGGATCTTAAGGGTCCGGCAGGTGGGCCCTTCCACTCGTGGCTGCCCGGGCCCCCGCGCCATCCCCATTGGCGAACACAACTTGGAGTTTCAATATATTCCTGTTTGATATGCGCGACTCTCAGCCAAAGTCTCACTGCTTATAATTAGCGCAAGGTCGGTCAATTGCTAGAGCTATGACGCTAGCCGTCGGTCTCAGCTGGACTCCTGTTTGCTGCGCCCCCACAATGCCATTGAAGCAGCACCATCTAGGCGACTGATGAACAGTCTCGATATCATCCGATGCTCCCATCTGCGGGAGGTCCGCGGAACAAGCTGGTTCTGAAGGGCCTGGGCGTAGTGGCCTTTTTCTGCATAGGTGCGTCGCGTCAGCGTTCCAAGGTTTCGGGCGCGTTAGACTCAACTCCAGTTGTCGCATTGGCACTCCAAGATGCTGCCCATGTTTGACACCTGAGTCTTCATTGTATGGTGCTAACATCTCCATAGTAATCCTGCTGCTGATGTCAAGCTTCCCCCACAAACGACCGGGCGCGAACCTCAACCTCCCACTACGCATACTTCCGCTCGGCGACTCGATAACTTGGGGTGGCCAGCCGGGTGCAGACAACGGCACAGATGGGTACCGCGCACAGCTGATCCACGCGCTTATACGTGCGCGCTACGCGTCGGTGAACTTTGTCGGCACGCAGCGCTCTGGGCTCATGCCCAACAATGACAACGAAGGGCATCCAGGGGCCACAATCAGCGAGCTTCAGAGCCTGATGAAAGCTGGACTACAGATGCGACCGAATGTCGTCTTGTTACATATCGGCACGAACGATATGGCTCGTCCTGAAAGCCCAGAAGAGAAGTGGGCAGATGCGCCGAAGCGTTTGGCAGCGCTGTTAGACGACGTGCTGGACATGTGCCCGGACGCTGCGGTGCTGGTTGCGAAGATCATACAGGGAGCCGATATGCAGGCACAGGAAAACATCAAGAGGTTCAATGATGCCGTGCCTGCGGTTGCGAAGAAGAAGCTTGATCAGGGCTTCAAGGTTGCGGTTGTTGACCACAGCGTCGTCCTGCCCGAGGAGTTAGTTGACGGGCTACATCCGTGGGTGTTCCGGTTACTTGTGGCGTAGAACCACGTTCGCTAATCGAATCAGGTCCTATTCCGGATACTTTCACATGGGAAACATCTGGTTCGATGCTATCAAAGCTGCCAGTGGCCTAGGGGTCATAACACCGCCCGTCGCACCACAAGAAACATGACCCGCGCGTGTCCCACCCGTCTATAGCCAACTAGTTGTCAAAACTACCACATCGAGCTTTACGACACACAATCTCCCCTGAAAGTGGTGACGACGCAGACTGCCTCTCAGGTTGCACGGATATCTCACATGCGAGCTTGATACCTAGGTACTCACGAAGCAGTCAAGATTGTCAGACCGAGCACAACAGAAGAACGAGTGCATGTGGCACTGTGACCACGCTATAGGCGACCACGTCCGGACCAGTCTTCATCGATAGAATGCAACTCGTCTTGCTTACTGTGCCACGCTCACGATTCAGGCCTGATCATGCTATTGCCATGCGCGAGTCGCATGCATCGGCCATACGCTCATTCGCTAGCCCCGACTGTGGAAACCTGCGCGGGGTCGACATGCGGGCAGGCGGGGCGCCCACGCTGCATCACGCTAAAGCATATCCAACCCCAAACATGGAAGTTTGCCCTTCTCACAGAAGGCGTGATCACTTTTTGCATGTCGGCAATATTTGCAAAGACGCCTCAGTGGAATGACAGATGCTGTGGAACACGACAATCTGGTTTCTAGAGCCTCGCGGTTAGTCGGCTAGAACTGTCAGACGCTTTTGGCAAGTCTTCTTGAGAGCTCTGCATACATGGCGTCGGATATGCTTTGGCGAGCTGCTGCCGCTATGGCAGAGACGGATGACTACGCGTTGTAGTGCATGTGGCGTCATGGCCACAGGGATCGGTTGGCTTTGGTATATCTCAATCGTCGTGCGGTTCGTTTTTTGGTCAGCCTTACTTCATCTGTGTCAGCTTGGTTGTTGTTTTCTGTTCTTTCCGACTCTTCGTTAGAACAACGACTGGATAGAGAGCGAACCTCACCATGGGTTTCGTAGACGAGGATCGCGTCCGTCTAGTTGCGATCTGGGCACCCGCTGCAGTACGTCTTTCAGCTTTCTTCTTGACATTGATCTGATAAGTCCAGTTCGTCGCATACGTAGTCTTGACGGCAATCTACAACCTTACACTTCACCCTCTTGCCAAATATCCTGGTCCGCTGTTATGGCGCATTTCGCCCATCCCCTCGATAATCTCCCTGTTACGCGGCCGCATCGCCTTCGACTACAAGGTCCACCACGACAAATGTGGACCCGTAGTGCGCGTGATGCCCAATGAGCTCTCCTTCAACACAGCGAAAGCATGGGACGATATCTACGGACATCGGGTCGGGCTTGCGAACATGGACAAAGATCCCATCCATGTCGGTGCTGTAGAAGCGATTCCAGGCGCGACGAATCTGACTATGGCACCGGATATCCACCATGCGAGACAGAGGAGAGCGCTAGCTCATGCGTTCAGCA